TAGATTTCCCACAAGACTTTACAGTCTTACAGTGCAGTTTGAATCTGTTTATGCAAATTGCATGAACTTTTATGTTCCCCCAAGTCATCTAACTCAAGGCACTAAACATTAACAGAGGACATTTACATCGGGAAAATGTGAAGAGGGCGCCCGTTTGATATTTGTTTGCTTGTTTCTTTCTTCCCTTCTTTGTCTGTGTGTGTGTGTGTGTGTGTGTGTGTGTGTGTATGTGAGAGATAGAAAAGCACATTAATGAAACAGTCATGACCTGAAGAAAACATTTTATGGGGAATGCAAGTGGCTAATACAAGCTGCATGTGCTGCAGAAATGCTGGCAAGACATTTTCCCAGCTGAAGACGTACTCCCTCATATAACCTGTGGGAGTTTTTATCAGTATGTACTGTCCTTGATCTGTGAGAGTCTGATTTTAATCATTTACAAATTATGGCAGGATTACAAACAAGGCATGTGGGGCACATGCTTCAGGACCCCAGCCTTATTTATTTTATTTTATTATTTGAATAAATTTATTTATTTTGCTATCAGGATAGAATTACAATGTCGGCATGTAGTGTAAATGTAATTTTGGCTGACTTTTTTGGTGTAGTTTTTGTTCTGTTCATAAATGACAATAGTCACTTACCTAAGATGCTCTGCATTTGGGAACAGTGAATTTCAGACTATCTTGAAAACCTAAAACATGCTTTATGAAGCAGTTCCTAATAAAACATTTTTTTTTACTTATGCTTAGTAACTTAGCAACAAGCAACTTGGGGCTTTGTGAAGTTGATTTTGGACTCAGAAACCAACCATTTTCTTTTTAACAGGTAGAGATACTTGCACAGTATCGTAATCGCAGGAAAATATGTTTCACATCGAGGGCGTCATGTGGCATCATGGGTGGGTTGGGTGACATTTGTGCCCCAGGGGCAGATGATCCTTTGATCCAGACCTGTTTGCAGTGATTGACAAAAAATGTGAAGAGTTATGATCTTACAGTGATCTATGGGGACACCTGACTGGCAGTGAGAGGCCCCACCTGACTGGGACTGATGTTACACCTGTAGTCTGTCAGGAAGAGACCTGTCATCCTGTCATCTTGCAAATCTGTTTAACGACATGGAGTTCAGTGTCGTTTTAACAAGCCCACACTCGAATAACTGAATCAGTCGGGTTTACTTGATCATTCAAGTCTCCATTGCCTTGTAAAACCTAATAGAGCACTACAATTCACATATTACTATGTGGATAGTTTGCCCAAAAATAAAAATTCTGTCATTAATGACTTACCCTTATGTCGTTCCAAACCTGTAAGACCTTAAAACATAAATTAAGGTATTTTTGATGAAATCCAAGAGTTTTCTGACCCTGCATAGACAGGCAATCAACTATCATGTTCAAGGCCCAGAAAGGTAGTAAAGATATCATTAAAATAGCCTGTGGTTCAACCTTAATTTTATGAAGCTACGAAAATAGCTGCGCAAAGAAAACAATAACGGCTTTATTCAACAATGTATTCTCTTCTGTGTCAGTCTTTGAAGCGTGTTTGCAAGAGTACCACTTTGCATTTGTCCAAAATTCTTTAACAAATCATTTTCCAAAAAACATTTGAACAGCTGTGTTTTCACACTCAAAAACTTGTAACCATGTATATGTCTTTTGTCCTTCTTGTATGGCATTATTTTAATGACAAATGTCGAGAGCGCATTATTGTAGCGTGAAAGCATATTAATATAATGTGCGAGCGCGAATCTCTCCGCTCGCGCGCGGATTTCTTTTGCTCTCGCACAAAACCGGACGCGCGCGCTCAGATACACGCTGCTCTCGCCCAGAGAGAGTGCACGCACTCTGCAAACTGTGTCCTGTGCACTCACAAATCTCTGTGCTCATGCACTATAGATATTAATTATTTTCGCACCTGAATCTTTAATCTTAAATCTTCTGATTTAAGACAGAACTGTTTAGATATGGGTCAGATGCACTATTCCCTAAACCGATACTTACGATTTGGAGACCAAATATAACACTATAATGAATGTTTCATATCTGCCATAACATTACTACATTCTGTTCTATGGGTTTAATGCATTTGCAGACAATGTAATTACATGTAACTGTCATATAACTGTATATTCACTGTTTTAGAGAAGAGTGCCATTGAATGTGTAGCTAATATTAAGTGGATTTTCATGAGAAAAAAAAATCTACAAAAAAAACAAATTCAGAACTGAAAAAAAAAACCTCAACAGCGATGCTATTAGAGCATTTATTGTATTATATCTTGCATCATTTACATCTATTTTTGCATTTGATGTTGATTTGAGGAGTTGTTACTTATTATTGTCATCATACCAACTGAGAATTTATTGCAATGATTTTAAATTCAGTTGAGGTATCTGACATATTATGACATAACATTGATGTTTTTTTTATATGAAGTCTTTAAAGCCATAGGCTATATGTTGTTTTTAGATAAATTGCTCAGAGTCCAACCAGTTGGACAGAGGTTATATGTACAAATCATCCAAGCACCCAATTCCTGGCCATTTCTATAGGCTACATTTCATTAACATTGCTAAATATTATTAAACTGGAAAGAAATTAAAGATCCAGCTTTGATTGTCAAAAGAATTCCACGTTCAGTTCACTCAGCCAATTAGATTTCACATAGTATTTTCATCGGTCAGTTGTGGAGGTCTGATTGGTTAAAGCTTTATTTATATAGTACCTTTTAAAACAGTGTATACAAAGTAGCCTACTTTACAAAGAGATGCACACAAATCTGTCTTGAGACTACTTTTTAAAAGTGCATAATGATAACGTTTGACAACGTTTAATTCAGGTGCGAAAATAATATTTATAGTGCATGAGCACAGAGATTTGTGAGTGCACAGGACACAGTTTGAGTGAGAGGAGAGACACGTTTTAAGTGCGTGCACTCTCTCTGGGCGAGAGCAGCGTGTATCTGAGCGCGCGCGTCCGGTTTTGTGCGAGAGCAAAAGAAATCCGCGCGCGAGCGGAGAGATTCGCGCTCGCACATTATATTAATGTGCTTTCGCGCTACAATAATGCGCTCTCGACATTTGTCATTAAAATAACGCCATATTCTTGTGGCTATACTATAGAAACTGTAAATATTTGAACATTTTATTCATCCCATTTGCTTCCATCATAAGTAGCCTGCCTCAGTTTAACCAAGATTTTTGAAGAAAAAGCATTGACAAGTGGAAATAATACTCCTAAGACATGTCCTGACGAGCTGAAGCCATCAGGAGCAAAAACACCCCAAACCTGCCCAACTCTCCCCATCCTCGGCCCAGCAGCCTTTCTCCTCAAAGCACTGCCTGAACACCAGCTGAAAGGAACATTGCAACATAGTGGTGAGGAGTGGATAAAGAAACTCTCTCTCTCTTTCTCTCTCTCTCTCTCTCATTGCATCTCCTTTGCTTGCTTCTCTCTCTTCTCCATGTCTCTCCTCTCTCGCTTTCTCTGAAAGAGAGCTCTTTCTCTGTCGCTCTTTTTCTCTCTCTCAAGCCCACGCCTGGTGCAGGCTTGGTTGAATCATGGGATTGAGTGGGTGGGAATGTGCTTCTTTTCTCCCAAAGACACGCAGACATGCATACACACTGGCGAACACAAACTCACACACTGACGTATCCCAGGCGGACTGGAGGATGCAGCCTGCGGCTCAGATTTCTGACATTTCTCCTCCCTTATCTCTTCTTTTCCTTTGCATTTCCTCAATTTCATGTGCTGATGCATAATGGATTTCTGCATACTGCCCGATGTGTGACATAATGTGCCAGTGCTCGCTAACCTTTTGATTCCATTAAAACTGCATTACAGATGCTTTTCCTTCCCCCACTCTGTGATTTCTTGTGCACGGCAGTTGAAAAGCAGAGATTGATGTGAGAGTATAAACAGCATTACTCAACATATGGTTTCATCAGGCCAGCCACAATATATGCAGTATGCAGACACTGTAGAATTGTGATTTTGATTAGCCAATTGTGGCATTCTGCGGTCAGATATTTGTGTGTAATGATGCTAAAGTGTAGATTTGCATGTTGTCCCTGGCAACGAATTTCACTCCAGAGTCTTTCTTCCAGCTCACTAAAATAATTTCAGCTCAAATCAATATTTCATGCCCATTTTATTTATATAAGTTGCAGTGTATTTAGCATGAAAATGTACAATCAATCAGTTATTACTGTAAAATAAACCCCTTTAGGATAAAGACCCGTCTGCTTTGTATTTGTATACCTGATGATCTTACCTGGTTTATTTTGTAATATTGACCATCAATAAAACCTTCAGATTTAAATTACAATTAAGCTTGTCTCTTTGCGTATTCAGATCCTCCTGGGAAGTTCATATTTATGAATCGGAAAGTCCCAATTATGACATCAGGTGCATTCAAATCATTTTGATGATATTTTTTTACTTCTCTATTTCTACAAAATGAAAAATAAAGAATTCGCATCTGGCATGTTTTTACTTTTTATGTTTTTATTTAATTCATGCAGGTACTGTAATTGTACAGTACTTGCATGTTTTGCAAATGCAAATGGGAGAAAAAAATACTTTATTAATTTAAACAAATTTACTGTTAATACAGATGCTGCATCCATTTCCAGCCACCATGTTTTCTCACTGACCAGCCCTAAACTTGGAAACTCTGGGCTGAAAATTATCTTTCAGACATAACTTGATTGATTTGAGGTGAAACTGAAGCTTATAGACAAAGGCACTTCCATCTCAATTAGGGGTCAAAATGTGGCTAGTTAGCATGGTTATGTTAGTCCCTGCTGGTATACTGTACACCATCTTGGCCCAAAAAGCATCGTTATCAGTCAGTCATTAAAACGTAGCCATGCATTTTGTCTAAAGAAACTGTCAGACTTAACACCAGCATGAAAAGGCTACTTTAGTATGAATTTCAATGCTGGTCCAGGCTTGTTTATGCTGGTGGACTGACATTCCTTATGGAGAAGCTGTTTGACTAAAAGTCTAGCTGGATAAAGTGGATAAGCTAAATAAGCTCGGTAGGCACACAAGGCTGATTTGTGTATATAGTATACATACAACAATGTAGAAATAAATCTGGGATGACATAAGTTGGCAGTCTGGCATTTGGCCTAGAGTTGCTTTGTAGAGCAGACAAAGCATGGGTCAATCCCACTGTTTGATTAGCCTGCACAAAAATAGCCTTTATCAATACTTACCTGCTTGCTGACTGAACACCTGAGACTTCCTTTTTGAGTATGGAGTTACATGGACTTCTTTCTGGAGCTACTGTAACATCAAAGCGTGTCATCCACTCCCACAAAATCACATTGTGGTGGAACAGCCCTAGAAACACCAATAAATTAAATGTATATATAGTTTGCAGACTTTTTGTTATGTATGTTGGTAATATTTAATTGTTTTAGTAATTTAGAAGATAGATGCTGGGGAAAAAAACATGAAAAATCTTTAGAACCTGCGACCATCTTTGCACCTGTTTTTCTGTTGACATGTCTTTTCTTTACTTGAGAAAACTCAAACTTGAGTTCTCAGTTGATAGGCTAGAGAGGGGTCTTTGTGGTCTGTAGTTCCCAGGCTGTAATCATGGCTTGATTGAAAGAAAAAATGGAGTAGTGTCACGAATGCTGGGCCTAGGGAGAATGCTTAAGCCCTGTGGGATGAGCGGCTAATCAGTGGAGGATATGTGTTGACAGATAACATCTGCACTGACTTTAAACATTTCTCATGTGGACCTCACTTAAATTTTGTGAGAGAAAATGGCTTACAGTTAATATGATAAAACACAACCAGGCCTTTCCCTTTTCTAAAGTTACAGCCTAATGCTTCTTTTATTGTTTTCCACTTTTCATTTGCCTTGTAATATCAATTCAGAGAACAACACAGTCAAAATGTAGATTTTTATTTTTGTAAAGGTATAAAGGTAAGGAAGGAACCTGTTGCCATAATAGCAATTTTAACTTTTGATTCTAGTTTTTCTGGTGGGTGGCTAAGTAATTGCATTCAGTTCATTTTAACTCTTTTTTTTTATTATTATTATAAACAAGACTCCAGTCCATGGTGCCAGATTTTGTGGTGGGTGGCTAAGTAATTGAATTCAGTTCATTTTAACTAATTTTTTAAAATTATAAACAAGACTCCAGTCCATGGTGCCATGTAACCAGTTTCTCTTTTCCATGCATGGAATGTTATGAGGTGCCAAACACGAAATAATTATATATAAATCTGAATATATAGAAGTAAATCTGAATATATAGTTATAATTCTGAATATATAAATGTAAATCTGAATATATAGTTATAAGCCTGAATATATAGAAGTAAATCTGAATATATAGTTATAATTCTGAATATATAAATGTAAATCTGAATATATAGTTATAAGCCTGAATATATAGAAGTAAATCTGAATATATAGTTATAATTCTGAATATATAAATGTAAATCTGAATATATAGTTATAAGCCTGAATATATAAATGTAAATTGTGAATTTATAGATATAAGTGTGAATATATTGTTATGTCCGAATATATAGAAGTAAATCTGAATATATACTTATACGTCTGAATATATAGTTAAAAATCTGAATATATAGAAGTAAATCTGAATATATAGTTATAATTCTGAATATATAAATGTAAATCTGAATATATAGTTATAAGCCTGAATGTATAGAAGTAAATATGAATATATAGTTATAATTCTGAATATATAAATGTAAATTGTGAATATATATTTGTAAGCCTGAATATATAAATGTAAATTGTGAATATATAGATATAAGTCTGAATATATTGTTATGTCTGAATATATAGAAGTAAATGTGAATATATACTTATAAGTCTGAATATATAAATGTAAATCTGAATATATGATTATAAGTCTGAATATATAGTTGTAAATCTGAATATATAAATGTAAATTGTGAATATAGAGAAGTAAATCTGAATATATAGTTATAACTTTGAATATATAAATGTCAATTGTAAATATATAGAAGCAAATCTGAATATATAGTTATGAGTCTGAATATATAATGTAACTGAATATATAGTTATAATTCTGAATATATAAATGTAAATCTGAATATATAGTTATAATTCGTAATATATAAATGTAAATATGAATGTATAGTTATAAGTCTGAATATATAGAATCAAATCTGAATATATAGTTATAAATCTGAATATATAATAGTAAAACTGAATATATAGTTACAGTCTGAATGAATAGAGGTAAATATGAAAAAATAGTAAATTCTGAATATATAAATATAAATTGTAAATTTATATTTATTATTCTAATTATATAATAATAAATCACAATGTATGTTTATAAATCTTGAGTATATAAATGCAAATCTGAATATATATGTAGTCTACATTTCAACATAATTATATCTTTACTATTAGGCATGTCAATAGGCAGATGTTCTTGCGTTTTTAATGAAAACACCAAACCTATGTATCCTGTACATCTATCAATGCAGATATTGTACTATTACTGTCTATCGCATGCTGCTGCAATTGTTTCTATTCACTCCAATCTCAATTTGTAAACATATGATGTTGTTGGCAATTTCCCTAGCCCTCTCAGCCATGCTGAACTGTGCAGAACAGATGGGTATTATCATTGTCACTGACTGTGAGGACCTTTTGGCACCACAGCCAGCCTTTTTTAAAGTATATAGAAAGATTAGTTAAGATTAGATTAGTGAGATGGACTTACACTAATTAATATAGTAAAAATATTTACATTGATAACTATATACAGTATGTACAGGTATAATAAAAAGTCTATTGATATGGTTTATTATAAAGATATAGTTATACTGAGATGAAGACAATATATATCCATATTTGCATTTATACAGTATATTCAGGATTTATACATATTTTCAGATTTCCTACAAGAGGAATACCAAATTATTGTTTTAAGTGTGAAAATATAGCAGAAATAGCACCAACATTCAAAAACAATGGACTTGTGATAAGGCTCCTGAAATAATCAGGTCTTCACTTTAAATTTTAATTTAGTGATGAGTGAATTTTTGCTAGAAAAAGAGCAGCAGAAATAACATGCAAGTGTTCTTATGCAAAACCTATGAAAAGAGTGACACTTTATCTCACAGAGTATGACGCAGCCTGCAGAAGTGGCATGCATGGTTGTTGTCACCACTAGAATTACCTACTGTAGCCAAAGCAAAATAAAATAATTTAACCTGACAAAAGGCAAAAGAGCTGTGTGCGTGCGTACATTTGAATAATGTCAGGCTGTAAACGGGTTCGGGCTTTTAAAAAGCTGTCAATCAAAATTGTCGGGCTCGGGCCGAATTCTGTCGGGCTCGGGCCCTGTCGGGCCTAACTTTTAAGGCCCAATTACAGCTCTAATCTACATTGTCATCTTTTTTAAACTCTAAAACATGAAATGTGGAGTTATCTGCTTTTGGCAATAAAACATCTGTTGGAGTTATCTGCTTTTGCTATAAAACAACCTTTTAATATGTAAAAAAAAAAACAACTGCAGTTTGATATTACTTGGAATGTGCAATAAAAAAACGTGATTTCTGAAAAAAATAAAATAAAAATGGAGCTATCAGTTTTTGCAAATGAACTCTTCATATATAAACATGTAGTTTGAAGACTGTTTTTGAATTTTTGGCAGTGTTAGTGAGACCAGAGCTAGCATTTATTTGAAATATTTATGTACCGTCCTCCTTTTCTTGATGGTTGGCTATGCTATTTACTTGCTCAGCACTATTGGTGCAGGGAAGGATGAGAGGAAAGTGACTAAAGATGTGTTTCAGGGTAAAATGAAAAGAAGAGAAGATATGACAAGCCTTCACTTCCTGTGTTAAATTTCTGTTGTAATACATTTAAATATGTTTGAAATTTTGTTTGAATTTGGTCCCTTCATTCAAAAATCTAGAAAAAGTCTAGAATCAGTATTGGGGAGACCAAATACAGTATATTGACAATATATTCACAATAAATGATTTCTGTATTTTGCATCTATGCTTCTTTTAATGACTTTAAATTTACTCTGTATTAAGATTCTGGTTGTCATTGTATATTTGGAAAGCACAGTACTTATACAGTGCATGTTGTGTATGTTTATTATCACTAAGAAACAGAGTTTAGTTTACGTAAACAACATATTGCAAAGAACAAACTTTGCCAGAAAAGTATTACCCACTTGATAAGTCAACAATGCATTGTGTTGCCTTAATAGAAGCATGTTGCATTCATTTAGTACAGCACATGCAGTACAGTATGTACAATAGTTATCCTGAATGGCTTCACAACTGAAGTGCTTACATTTAAAGGACAGAACCCACCGGAGAAATACCACGCCATTGGGGTTTTTGTCCTGATTTAGCAACATAATCTCCCGTATCACTCCACATAGTTGCTTAGAAATCCAATCCAATAGCTTTTTAATTATCCTCATTCAAATGCTTGCTCTATCATTAAAAGGTCATCTGGCAGTCTGAAAACCCAGTGGTGTGCCCTTTCCTTTAGTATGTTCACACTGCTTAGGAGAGCTCATCGCTCACTACACTAAACAAAGGGTGACGTTATGGAGCCGCATTAAACAATTAAAGTCAGATGACCATAATGACCTGCAATTCAGTGAATGTATAATTGTAAACGTGTTGCAGATGAATCTGTACCTGACACTGCACTGTGATTATTTAAAAGCTTCATATTACATACATCTCATATTACAAATTAATGCAATTCTTTGTTAATTTATATCATAAGTATGATCAATGAATAATTAGCTAAGTAAACATTTAAGTTACCCCTGTTAGAATTGGACTAGATTGAATAAGCACAGTTAATTAAATGTAATAAATAATTAAGAATCAAACACAAAGGGGTACATCTGTGAATTAAAGGGGTAATTGATTAATTAAATATGGTAAAACAGAGCTATGAACAGGGTTATTCTATGAAACGTTCCTTTTTCAGTATGATAAAGTATATTTATATAATGTAATTTAGAAATAATCTGTTTAAATGTTCAAAAAGTGCATTTTGCCATCTCAAGCAAAAGATGTAATATAATTATAACTTCAAAAATGTCACAGGGTTGACACCTTACCGTTGTGCTGAAACTACAATGTTCTTATTAGAAATTTTAATGGTGATATTTTTATAGTTTTTCAACATATAGGCCTATGTATTGCACCCGAAGTCTTTATCTGTCAGCTGCTCATGGCAGCTGCACTATAAATATATGTTTTGTACATTACGTTAGAGCTCTAATTACCCACCCCAGTCATGTACAATTTCCTTTGTGCTTGACAGCAGCTTAATCGCAAATTATTATTATTTTGTCGTGCATATCAGTTCTGTGCTATAGCTCAGAGTGCATTGTTGATATTAAATAGTTAACTATATAGAGAATTCAATGTTCAAAAGGAAATTAAAAAACCTACTAAATGAATAATAAATATAGTTCTATATAAGGAATAGTGGACATACTAAGGCATGACTTAAAAGAACGTTTAAAAAACCTTTTACACATTAACATTTAATGCATTTTAGAAGTGATTTACTGTGCCACTGTGTAGTAAATGTCATACAGAATACTAAATAAAAATCCATCTATCCATTCATCCATCTTCAACTGAATTGATCTCAAACAATTTATGGAAGAAATTTAGTTTTTACTTTTAAGTACCTATATTTAGGCCTGTCACGATAACTGTTTGTTGTGCGATATATTGCCCCAGAAATAATTGAGATAAGTGATATTATTGTCATTTTAAAGACCATTTTATGCCACTGAATATATAATCCTAACATAACAGCATAATAATGCAAGAAAATATTCAATTTTTCAATATTAAAATATTCAATATTTCATCAAAATATTAGATACCTTAAAAAACCTGAATAAATTGTAAATAAACTTTTCTTACAAAAAGTGCAACGTAACAAGTAGAAAAAAAGAAATCACAAAGAATGTATGGAGATTTTTCCATTTACAGATTTTTCCCTGACCTTCTTTTCTCTTTAAATGAAGGGTGCACACTATTGCTGAAAAACACAATCACTACTTAGCAGTCAGATGTCCATTTGCACAAAGGCACAGATCGCTAAACAAGACCATATCTTCAGATTAACCTTTTTTGTAGAAGCATTTTTTTTTCAATTTGAACTAGCACCTCATGACTACATTGCGTTATGTACGAGAAGCTGCAAAAGACACAGGCGCAAGTGGAATGTACAAAACATGGTGACATTAATTGTTAAGTAAATATAATGGGTGATATATTGCGTCACCAAAAATGATTGAGATCATGTACATATATTGCGCGATATATTGATTATTGCGACAGGCCTACCTATATTATACTCATTTGTCTAATTCTAACCCCCTCAAAATAATAAAGAGATGCACTACAAAATAAAGCTGAAAGCTGAACTGAAGTCATCAACCCTATCCTACAGTTGCTTTCTGTATACCCTCTAAACCCTTTGTTTTCCACAGCTGGTACTGTCCTTGTGATGGAATCCTTGCAATGCAATTTTCCGGATAACTTGTTTTAATCAGCTAATGCCAATGTTTTGCAGACATGACATTGAAACCGTTCAGCTATAAAGGAAAGGACTCTTATTTATAACTCTAACATTTTTACATAATTACCTCTGTATACTTTCTTTTTCACGGCAGTTTCATTCAATACTTGGGAAAGATTTGATTTTGACATACATAATTTGCATTACAGTACATTTGCATGTTCTGTATAGTATTTTGTAGTTATGTGTGTGACTTTATTTCTGCTAGAGCTGTCTCAGATTTAACAGTCCATTAGAGGTCAATTAATAAAAACCAATTGAATTTTAATATTAAATGTTGTTTTGCTAGTTCATCAGTGTTTTCCCAGATGCCAGTGCCTGGTACATTTCATGGAGTCATGCCCAGGCTGTTTTTAAAAGGAGCAGAAATGTTTTGTAGAAGGACTGCAGCAATTTATATTAAAACCATCTGTTACCATGGTGACATTCACCCCTCATCTTTTGAGATATTTCTGGAAAAGAACGTATTTGTGCGCATACACACTGAATCCAGAACTAAACACAACCACACAGTATATTACTCAACTGTATGGATTATATTGATATTTTTCTGTCCCTATTTAAGTTTAGAAACCTGACCTGTGAACATAAAAGGGTAAAGTCCTGCACTGTCCTATATCAGGGTTTATTTAAGGTCACATGGAGCACAACTATCCAGTGAGAGTCAATATGAAAGGCTTAAAATAACCACATGACGTAGTAAAAACTAGCCAGATTATAAGCAAAGTCTAATGTGTAATGTACATTTTAAAAATGATTTGTAAGGTAACCTTAAAGTGTGTTTATGTGGTAATATCTAAATTAATTGGTTTTAAGTCAAAAATATTATTTAATAGGGCTGGGTAAAAAAAATGTATTTCTCGATTTTAATTGATTGTCATTTTTATGAAACAATATGGATTCTTAAATCCCAAGAACCGATTAGTCTAGCCTGTTTTCAATTAATGAACTGAACATTGTAGCGGTCATCTCATCGCAAAAAATGCAATAAAATGAAACAAATTCTCAGATTTCAAATTCTTACCATTTTATTACAATATTCAAACAGTAAAGGCCGTTTTGGCGCTGTTAAATGTGGCGTGTCAGATTGCTATAGCAACGCAGTTCAAGATAAGTAGCAGCGCAAAGAACTGTATTTGAACTCCACTTTAATACCAGTTTCAGCACAAAATATACATGAATGAACATCTGAAGTTATGTTAAAAGAACAAGTACAGCTTACCGAAATCCGTATCCTGTCTCATGTAATCCCTCAATCATTAGCTATGTTTCCATCCACCTATGTTTATATGCATTTTGGATTATCACATACAAAAAAAACGCTGGATGGAAACGCCAAGATGAGCATAAATTCTAAAAATGCGCATAAAAAACGTATGCGCACAACTGAGTAGGATCAACTTTTTATCCGATAAGAAAAAATGCTCATAAACTACGATGGAAACACATTTACCGAATAAATTCCACCGTGCGCATTGAAAAAGTCATGTGACTTTGCGCTATGAGACGGGATAAATTGACTAACCAGCGGATCGATCTCATTCACAGGATCTATATGTTGTTTTGGTCGTTCTGAAATGCCTGAGGAAAGTCTGTCATCAAAGTATTTCTGTATAATTATTTTCTTACATGACTGCGTTCCCAAACAGCAGGCATCCACCTCTAAAAGCAATGACCGCATTTGTGTTACGTCTGCTGTCTCTGAAGCGCAAGTAATTTATTACATATGAAAATTATTATATTCAGTGGCTTTTCCTAGTTTTCTTAGAGATATTTAGTGCCAGTTTATCAGGAAGTGACGATTTTGTTATCTTTGACTCGTACGGTGCTTTATTCGCAAATGTTTTATGCAATATTCCAGTTCCCTTTCATGGGAACTTCGAACTGCGTCCTCTAGGGGTCGCTATGGGGAACGCCTCGTCGTGACCCGTGTCTGAAGCATACATTGAAAAAACACCAACTCGTTGGCTGGCGACAGCCATGACGTCACTACTGGTGCGACTATAGTATAAATAGGCGCCGGGAGCACACATCATTCACTTCTTCGTCTGAAGCTTGCGTCCGCAGCATGGCAAGAAACCTAGAGGACGCAGTGTCTCGTTCCCTACTCAGGGAACCATGGTTACATAAGTAACCTGAGACGTTTTGAGCATAAGTTAAATTTGCATCTTTGGATGGAAACATAGCTAGTGATTCAACCGCGGAAACGTGTATACATAACAGCTTGTAACCAATGTCACGTTACGTCACATTTACCTCAGAAAAACATACTTGGTGACCATAAACTCGTTAGTCAGCTAGAAAAATGAACTCTAGAGTGGAGCATTTTGCTAAATGTATGTACCATATAACACATTCATTATAACTTTTACTGTTCTTCAATGTATAATTTGTTTGAATAAATCCATCAATTTTTATGACAGCCGTCATTTAAATGTTTGTTACAAAAACGAATTGGACTAGAATTATAATTATGTGATTGTAACTTTATTATTATAAAATCTTCATTGAGTGTAATTTAAGAATTTATATATACTGTAAATCAGTTAATTTTAACCTTCAATATTATAGTAATGTAGTACTAACTGACTCTCATGTATATTTTACATTAGATACATTAGCATTAGTTGAGGGATTCTTTTTTCTTGAGAAAATTTGGCATGTACTGTATCTGATATTGATATTGATATTGAATTGAATCGAATCGAATCGGAAATTGAAAGCTTGAGAGTCAGAATCTAATAAAATCATGAAATTTGTGTCAAAACCCAGCACTACTATTTAATATGACTGAAGCAAACTGACTAGATTAGTTTACACAAACGAATAGTTGGTCTAATTTTTTAAGAGTCAAATAAGGTAGAAATAGCTTCTTAATGCAATGAAAGTTCTGCCATGATGTATAACTGGCATGTTGTTCCAAACCTGTATGACTTTATTTCTTCTGAGGAACGCATACTGTAAGACATTTTCTACACTAAACTGGTAACTTTTTTTTTTTTTTATAAAATCTCAATGAATGAAGACTGGATCTTTTAAGCTTCGGAAAGGATGCAGAAGCACTATAAAAGCATCAAAGGTCAACAACATGACTTGTGCACTTTATTCCAATTATAGCTATACAGTAGCTTTGTCAGCCTGACATTTAAAGGGATAGTTCACAAAATTATTTTACTGACCCTCTTGTTGTTCCATATCCGTATGACTTTCTCTTTCTTCTGTGGAACATAAAAGATATTTTGAGAAATGTCTCAATAATAGAAGTCAGTGGTCACCAAAACATTTTGGCTACCAACATTCTTCAAAATATTTTCTTTTGTGTTCTGCATACAGGTTTGTAACAACCTGAGGGTGAGTAAATGATGATGGAATTTACATTTTTGTGGTAAACTATACCTTGGGTAATTTTTACTGATAATCCAGTGAATAATTTAGTCAGTGAGTCTTTGGGGTTTAATAATTATTCAGATTCATTAAAAAATATGATCTGATTTATTCACAAATCAGCTTCTCTTGTGACTTCTAAAGAATTTATTTGGTCTGTTATGATACATTTTTGGTCAAAATTATTGCATGACTTCAGAAGTCTAATAAGTTTAAAGCTTGACTGTTCCAGTCCTCATTGACTTTCATTACAAAGAAATGAGTGACCAGAATATTCTTTATAAATTTTATCCTTCTAAAAGCCCTCCAAAAATGTGTACAGTGGAAAAACATTAGTGATATATCTATGAGTTATTCCATCAGAATGCATGGCTACTTTTGAATAAGCGTCAATGGATACACCTGATTTGTCAGTGGGTGCTAAGAATGCATTGCTAACCTGACCCCTTAAATGCATCTGAGCTCTTCGAAGATCCATTAAACATGATTCACAAAATAACCTGTACAATATAAACGACCCACAAGCGAATCCATAGTCTACAGAGTCATATCCGGCGATGACACATGTCCTTTCCCATCTTAAGAAATGCAGGCCCATGAAAATCAGATCCTCCTGACAGCTAATGAACATTACACCCCTTCTCCTCTCTCTCCTCGATCTCATTCCCTCTGCTTCTCTGATTCCTGCGTGGGAAGAGAGGAAATCTATTCAAGCTGAGTTTATTTTTGGCTCGCAGGAAGTCTGCAAACAGAGGCTCTTGAGTCACCAAAATGCACAATAGGCCTTTGCATCGATTCAGTAGCTCCGCCATCCTCACTACAGCTAAAGCTGTGCCAACTAATTACACAAGTCTTGATACAACTACAGCCGCTTCTAAAACCCTCTTCTCTCGGCACAGTAACTAAGGATAACCCAGACGTACAATGCGATTTGTCAGAAGGTTCATAGATTATGATTTTTTTTTTTTGCATTATCATTTATCATAACTAATGCGTTTGTTCTCATAGGCTAATCCGGAGTAACTCAGGATAACCCAGACGTACAATGCGATTTGTCAGAAGGTTCATAGATTATGATTTTTTTTTTTTGCATTATCATTTATCATAACTAATGCGTTTGTTCTCATAGGCTAATCCGTTTTCTTTAAACTATGTATAAATGTCAGATGGATATTGTGTTATGAACAAATCAAATTTCAGTCTATTATCCTGGTCCTTGGTATGCTATCAATCCCGCTGCCTCCAGTGGTATACCGCCGGACTGGGATCAATAGCGCTCTGACCCACATCTTTATCGGCTCATCATTCTCTGCATGGGCACGCGAGTGTGTGTGACTATAGTGAGTGTGTGTGAGCATGTACTGTAAGTCCATGTTGATCATCTTTATATTGGTATGTGCACCTCCATACGTCTGTAAGTGATAAATGTGCAATTGAGGAGAGTCAAGGCTCCAGTTCCCTGCTGAGATTGGGGGTTTTGAAGGCCATAGGCGTCCAAGTCTGTCAGCCAAAGGGAGAAGGATAGGCAGGAATAGATGAATAGAGAGATGGGTGGATGGAGACAAAAGTGGCTGGTAAGGAACAGAAGGGGTCATGGATCTTTCTAGGGGTTTTGTCTCAGGAAGTCAGGAAAGAAGTGGTGATGGATCGCATCTTCTGAAGTGGAACAGAGAGGAAAATATTAGCACTGTGCTTTCGATCATTGTTTTTCAACAGAGATTTGACCTGTTGTACAGTACGTCTATATACAGTACTTCTTTTGGAGGATTTCTTGTGTCAAGAATGTTATGAATGCTGGTCTGAATTTTTTATGCAAAGTTGTAATTATTCCCTCACTGGAAAGTGGCTTGGAAACTGGAGATGGTGTTGGCTCTCCATACGCTTGTGGATGCCCACAACCTCAGCATTAAATCAGGGGGAAAACACTCCCAATTCATCATAGTAATCCCATTCTGTCACAACTGCTGTCTGTACGAGAGCTCAGAGTCAGCTGTGATTTCAAGCATCACCAAGATACAAGAAACTGTTTGGAGCAACAGTTCGGAACTGTAGTCTTGTCTAATTCTATGATCAGGATATGTGAAAATTAATCACATATGAAAAATATGTGAAAGTGCATAATTGTTTCATTAATAGGTACATCACAAAATGTGTAGACACAGTTCACTCCAAAATCAAAAGGAAAATGTACTAATAATAATTTGCACAAAAAAAAATGTGTTGTGCATTGTGCGTATAGTATACTGTATATATGTATATTTCAACACGTATGACCTTTTAATGTGGTCATAACTGTGTATCTTGCTCTACTTTTCCAGTATGTATATATTTTTTTATGTTTTTCCCATCTGTTCAGCCACTGTGTGGTGACCCTTTTCCCTCAGAGACTAATTACTCACGCTGTGTAACCTCTCTCGTTAATACTCACGAAAAAGACAGATGGACATTGCCCATGCAAGACAGCAGTAATGAAATATACTTTTTGTCACCCATAAAAATATGGCCCAACACACATTCCAGCACAACTTCTGTGCTTATGCTTAACCAGCATATAAAAGACTGTTGAATCAGGTTTCCATGATAAAGTAGTATTGTGATTCCAATAATTCAGTAAACAGTTGGAGTAGGTATGGAGTAGGTTTAAGTGATCTAAAATATGGTCATGCAGAATAAGGCATTAATATGGGTTTATAAGTACTCATAAATAGCCAATATGCTTGTAATATGCATACTAATAAGCAGCTAGTTAATACTGAGAAATGGTCCCTAAACAAAAGTGTTACCATATTATTACAACATCATGACATTACATAAAACAAATGTATTATATTAAGCACATTGTTTCGTGAAAGCTGAAAGCCAGCCAATTTTGATCTGGTAAAATACACTCATGCCAAATATTGTCATGCCACATTTGTGCAATACTGGTCATATGTTAATTGAATAAACTGTTGCATAATTTAATATGTTAGTAAGATAATTATTAATATGTGATCTTCAAAACTCTGTAATGTTCATCTTTAAAGCCAGTGATGTAGCCACAACAACAAAAAAGCTGATATTGCTACTTGATACTGTAGAGTGTGACACATATAATGACATAGTACTGGGACACAGAAGAGATTCACAATCTATTCTCAAGATAACTTTACTAAATCTTTGAGTGATTTCGTATTTAATTTTTTTTTATTTTTTTTATTTTTTTATATTGCATTACATTTTTTACACTGCACTGGGAAAAACAACACTGAGGGAACAATGAATTGGCGTCACAGTCTTATGAATGGTAGTAGAGGATTCACCAGTATTAGGGGAAGATGGGTGGCAGGTGTTAGTCTCCATTAGAAAGCTTTTACAGGAAATCACATCATGGCCAATCCACACTCCACCTGTCACAATGACCTATTTCCTTTGCAGATGGAATACAATTCCAGGACGTGAGCCGCAGGAACTGTTAAGTTTTTCTCATTTGGCATCTCTCCAGAGACGACTGAGGGGAATTGCTTTATCAAGATGCATATGACATTAATATGTCAGTTTTATATGCACTGTAAAATGAGGGCACACGTAGTGGGATGGTCCACAAAGTGCTTTCCTATAATCTGTGAATGTTTACGGCAGATATAATATATTAGTTCACTATTGTCAGAGTTGACATAATATTGTGCTAATTAATAACTGCCAATTGGAGAGCTGTTTCTCATCAAGGCTAACACGTCACACTAAAACAGTGTTTTTATTTACTGGTTTCAATATCAGAACTGAGTACTGAATGCAGTGTTTCTGAGTTAATCTGTGGTATGCATTATATTATAATTATCTATTATAATTAATAAATTATTTATATAATGAAATATATGTATACTAGGGCTGAAACGATTCCTCGAATACCTCGAGTAACTCGAATACAAAAAATAATTTGCCTCGAGGCTTCGTTTAGTCCATTTACTGTAACTACACACGGAACACCGTGTTTCCCCACGGACTATTATTACTGACGCACAGTGGTGGACAGTAACGAAGTAGTTTTACTTCGTTACTGTACTTAAGTAAATTTTTAAAGTATCTGTACTTTACTGGAGTAGTTTTATTTTGAGTA